TGTGTGTGTGTGTGTGTGTGTGTGTGTGTGTGTGTGTGTGTGTGTGTTAGTCTGCTGTGTTTCCTGTGTAAATGACCTCCCTATAAGGAAACTCTGAGCTCTGACAGCAGACAGATGTTTGTCCAGATGTTTCTGTGGAGAACACACAGACAGCTTCAAACTGAAAGATAGAGTAAACTTAGCATGCTCAGTATGAAGCCGTTACTTTAGATCGAATCAGATTTAAATTATGTTTGTTTTTGAGTGAAGCACTCAAACGTCTATCGACCACAGAGCTTCCTGTTCCAGTGAAACCATCAGCACACTGGTTCTATCTGTTGTAACAAACAAATTTCCCCTTGCGTGATGAATAAATCTGTCTGTCTATCTCTGATAAGTCGATCACAGTTCAGACTGAACTCATAACATTGATTCAGTTTCACTGCTGTGCTCATGAAACACGGCAGCTAAAGCAGCTTTCTGTCTGCAGCACTGAGATCAGCCTCTGTGTCTGTTATCACGTTCATAAAACATTACGTTTTATAAAAAAATAATACATAAGTAAAACCTAACATAATAATTGTATTCCTACTTGGCCTGAAGCCTAATAATAGCTTCATGAAAATGTAGTGAGTGAGTTTTTGTTTAGAGATTAAATCAATATTTAAAAAATTTGTTTCAAACAGGAAATTAATTTTCCAAAAGCAGAAAATCTGTGGTCAGAAGGTTTCCTCTTATCTCCAGTGACCGAGACCACAGAGGAATCTGAGGAATTCACCTCATTATTAACCTCCCCCGCCTGTCTCCCTCTCACTCTCTTTGTCTCACTTTCAATACGCTTGTGTTGTTAAAGCATAGGAGCATAAGAAAGAATAAATACATCTGTTAATAATAATTAAAGTAAATAATGACACCATTGAAGATAATAAACAAATACTGAACATGTCCCTCAGTAATAATATGTATCTGTCTGCTTGTCTTTCATGAACCAGGAGGAGAAGAAGTGTTTCTTGTGTGACTCTTCGACGCCGTATGACAAGTTGAGCAGTCCGACCAGCGGTCATCGCGTCGAGAACGTCGTCACCACGTTTGCTCCCAACAGACTCAAAACCTGGTGGCAGTCTGAGAACGGTGAGAGGTCACAGTCATGTAACGGGGTCGACCTCCATCTGATTTACTCATTACAGATCAGAAGATGTAAACTTTATTAAACATCTGGTCAAAAACAAATAGCCTCTTTTTAGTCCAGAAAGTTGAAGAACCTCCAGGCTAAAGTTGACCTGTGTCGCTCCGCTGGTCCAAACATCTTTGAGTTCCATTTTACGCTCAGTCTCAGGTGGGCTGCATTTAACCGAGCTGCTAATCAATAAACCGTCACCTATGTTTTCTCCAGATCATCCTGGAAATCCAATACAGCCTATGAGCTTGTGTAACGCGTATAATATTATATACTAGGGGATAGTATATACTACTATAATAGGGAGGATGTGCTTAGATTTGTATATCAGCTTGAACTATACTATTACTCTGCTTATTATGGTCACATTGGGCCTGCTCAAGGAAATCAGATGGCTGCACCTGGATTGGTCTGTTTATGTCCATCCATCCATTTTCCTCTGCTTATCCGGGGTCGGGTCGCGGTGGCAACAGGCCAAGCAGGCTGACCCAGACTTCCCTCTCACCGGCAACATGTTCCAGCTCATTCTGGGGGATCCCGAG